ACTTATTTCAAATATACAAAGGGATGTTTTAAAAAAACATACGAAATCCTAACCTCCGTGAAGCTCTAATATTCAAAATGTATGTAATTATTATAGTAGTATAATTACCGATAGGTAAATAAAGTGGTTGGATTAAACTCAATAAAATAACAAAATGGTTTAATAAACTTGCAGGTTAATTTATTAATAACCAATAATAAAATGTAATATTATTTTTATGTTTAAAAGTATTTTATATCAATTTCAAACAAAATAAAGAAAAAATAGGTAATAAAAATATTTTTTCTGACCGGTTGTGCTACTGGGAATATCTCTAAAAAATACCAATACACAATCAAATCAAAAAGTGTTATTTTTGTCCCATTGTGCAGAGTTCATTACCATCGCGGCTGGAAAATCTAATGATTTCGCCAGCCGGTCTGTCTGAGGCCCGTCCTGGGTCACAATTTCTTAAATTTAATCGGTACACCCTATAAAATATCATTCATTCTGGGTGGTATTGGACAAATTAGTGTCTTTTAGAATTTTACATCTATAGGTAATAATACAATGAAACACAAAACATATACCCACATTTAATTTTCAAAAATAAGAAAAATTCAAATTTAAGAAAATTATTTATGGGGTGACGGTTTATTTTTTATTTAGGAATTATTCTAATGTGTTAAATTTGTATTTTTTAGTTAAACACATATTTTTAATTCGCTAAATTAAAAATATCATAGGAGAAATTTTGTAAAGAAATACTTTATCCCACCAAAATTTTTGATTTTATAGGTTCGCTATACTTTACATATTGGTTATAATATATTTATTATTTTTCTAGTACTTTTGTGACAATAAACAAAAAAAATCCTTTTTTTCTTCTTTAACATTAACAGCTGCTTATTGTAAATTAGTAAATTAAGGACGGCATGGCGAATCGATTTTGACATTAAATGTCAAACCAATGACTGTGATACCAACTATCTAAAGTAAAACTCGACCAAATTAAATTTAAGGTATATAAAATTAATTTTTTTTATAGAATTTTTGCAAAATAGATAAAATAGCATAAAGAACTCATGTCATAATATACTATTATTAAATAAGGAGATATTTTTAATTCAGATTGAAAATTTGGACACCCCTGGCATTCCAAACTGATTCTGTCGCTAGATGGCGGCACAATCACTGTGATCTACGACGTAAGTGAGTTGGAGTGGGTCAGTTTTGTGGCGTTTGAATAACAGGGGTGTCCAAACTCTCAATCGGTCGGAATTAAAAATATCGCATTCAATAATTATTTGATAAAATAAAAATTACATCGAATCAAAAATATCTCCTGAACCAAAATTTGGACCGATAAGTTTGGCAACGCCGCATTCACCCATATACACACCACTGTGTGAATGCATGCGGCGGTGCGGCGTGTAGGTGGTTGAACCTTAGCCCGACGTCTCTCCCGAATGAACGAAACCAAAATCAATATTTTCCCAAGTTGCATTGCGGGAAGAGCGACTTAAAAGGATACCGATGCCCGACGTCGTCTGAGAAGAGGAGAGGGCCTTGCAATTTTGTTTTTTTTGTTTGTTAATTTTCGCATGTTATTTTTTTTATCTGGACTGCGGCAACGTTGCAAATTTAGGGCTTTGGTTGGTAAATACAGTTGTCAAGTTGGTCGCATTGATTGAAACAAACTAAGCTAGTTATAAATCTAATTGTGGTTATGTATAAATTATTGTAGGTTACATTGTGCAGTTGTCAAGTTGAGTTGTCGAAATTCGTAGTTAAAAATGCAATTAATTTGGCTTTGATGGTGCTTGGATGAGTAAAATCATATAAAAAAAGTAGTTAAATATAGGTTGCTTTACGGCCCAGAAGAGAAAGTATTCCTAGCGGATAATAATCTTCGCTTTGAAAAGAATTTTTATAAAAGAAATTAAATTTTTTGTGAACGTAAATGTTGTCCAATGGTGAATAATGTGTGATGTAATATTTATAAAACCAAATTCGTTACTTTTTCACTCCAAAAATATCCATAAGGCGATGTACTTTTTCTTCCATTGTGGCATTTGGCATAATAACATCAAAATAAAGTTTTGCCCTCAAAAGGGTTTAACATTCGAATTCGTTGCTATTATTTTTGGCATAATTATCTTTTTATTTATAATTGACAAGTAAACTATCAATAATAAATATTATTGTCAATTTGACAGTGTCAAAGTTTTTAATTAAATTCTTTAGCAGAAGTACCATTTTTAAATACTAAAAATACCAAGTCAAACTGGCATAAGCCACCAACCTAACAAAAAAACACGAGTCCAGATAAAAAAATGAACTGTATGTACCACATCAAAAATGTTTAAGAATACATTTTTTTATTGTTAAATTGACTTAATACAATCTGGCACAAATGTTGTCCTGTTATAAATAAATACACATTTAATTTCGCTATATTTTAAGTTAAAGTGAGGTTATAAATTGTTCAGCACATATGTGCAACAGAATCTCAAGTACACATGGTCGCTCCTTCAAAAAGTACCACCTTGACATTTAAATACAACTAATTGGGGTTGTCTATCTGTCATTATCATCTGAAAATTAAATGCTTTGAATATGTCAATATAAACTATTACTTTTGAAAAGTGACAAATTAACAAAATACTATTTATCAAAAATGTTTCAGAAAAATCAAAATTTCAAATTAACCATACACAACATGGCAATAAAAATTATGTGTCTCATTCTATTGGTATTTAAATGTCAAAGTGGAACTTTTTTATGTAGGGCAAAAAAATATTTGTTAATTTTAACCAAATATTTACCAGATTCTTTGTTAATCCAGGTCCACATTTAATAACAAAATTCTATGTCAATAATTCAACCATAATTCTTGTAGACCCAGTATCAAAAGTTTTTGTTGATGGGTATTGTCAGTGGGAAATGGAAAGTTTGTTTTTTGGTATTTTTAATATTTAAAATTGGTACAACTGTTCAATTTTACTTTGACATTTTCATTTAAATGTCAAAGATAGCAAAACATTCTAAACAATTTTTTAAAATTAAATAATTAATTTAATACACTAAATAATTTTAAAATTTTTGACGTCAAATTCCGAAAGAAAACAAAAATATATTTGTCTTATTTTCTGAAAATACTACAACATATGCATTTTTTATAGTCTTAATTTAAAAGAAACCTAATAAAATTAAATGGAAATCGTGAAGTCATAAAAATAGTAATTAACTGAAAAACTTAACAAAAACACCATAAAAGATAAAATAATAAATATACCCAACTCATTTCCCAACATAAAAAAATAGTAGTGGTATGTCATTTTGACATCTACCTACTATAAAAAATCTCTGAAAATCTCAAAGTCATAATATCCATTTTTTTCCTTAGTTCCCACATAGAACAGGCAAAACAAATCCCGTCATGCCCGCTACATTTGTTTACATTTGACGCCGCAAACACGGGGCCACCCTTTTTCGAAGAACATCCACCCCCTCGTGCGGCTTTTGCCTTTTCGCCGCAGAGCGCAAAAGTGAGCGCGACAGGGTGCGCCGGTCTAGACGGGCCGCCAAAGGGCGCTCACCCCAAACAGCCAGTCAAAATAAAACCGAACGCACGAAAAAAAACCCTCCCCGCGACCCCGCCTCTGGCAAAAAGGACATCGGTCGCAAAAAACACCTGTTAGCTCGATAATATTTGCGTTGAAGATGAAACGGCCATTTTTGAGGGGATTAAAAGGAAAGGTAACTTCCTGTCATCTTTAGATGCCCAAATCTCATTCTTCTTCGCGTATAAATAGCTTTCTTTCCTGCATCCGGTCTGGCTTAGCGTCGCAGGGGATCGAGATTTAAAATTAGAAACAGGCACAACGAAATTAAAACATGAAAAAATTAACGGGCGGAAAGACATTTTTCAATGTTTATCTCCTGTTCGTTTTTATCAATGTTTGTCAGTGTCGATTCCAATTTGCCCAGTTATCGGCTTCCGGTGATGCATCAATGACAAACTCGTTGTGTATTTCCCGTAAAAAATCATCGAAAAACATTTTTACATCGGCAGAATAATATTTTTGTATGCCTCGTTACGTAAACGCTTTATTTATTGAAATATCCAGCAATCCTTGACGTTTAAAACGTCAAACAACTAAAAATATGTTAAAAACTAAGCATGCCTTGGTATTTTAAAAGATACCATCGTTTTAAAATATCAAGGCAGCTTTATTTTACAACTTACTTTTAGTTTTTTGACGTTTAAACGTCAAATTATCAAGGATTGCTATTGTATAAAGAATGCAAAATTTTCCGACAAATTATTTATAAAATAATCACTATTCAATAATGTAAATTCTAGGAATACTTGTGACGCATGCATATTCTTCAAACGAATAAATCCCAACCATAATTACAGTAAAACTCGATTTAAAACTGTTTAAATCGTAGCCATCATTGAAAAACGAATTAAAATCACGTCTCCTTATTCTTTTAACTCGTTTAATACGTGATAGTTAAAGTGACGTACCTTAAAATCCTGTTAAAACCTTCCGAATTTCGCACATTTGACTCGAAAAGGCACTTTTTACACGTAAAAAACAGTTTTTCGACAAACTTTCGGTATTTTCTTGACAGTGAATACGCCCTCCTTTGCTTTGACAGCTGTCAAACGCCCAAAACAAATGATTATCGCCGTCAGTCTTCTTTTAAGTATTTGTACTGCTTTATTCGGTGTATATCTGTATAAAAACAACAAGTTCTATTAAAATATCTCAAGCACTTTCAAAGTTTTACGGCTCGCGACCGCACACAACACTCGGTTCTAATGGAAATATCAAGAAATCAAAGAAATGTCAAAGACGTGACGTCATCTAACAAAACAAACGCCCACCGGGAACACCAACCGCTCGCCCCAACAACCTCATTTAATCCGCGCGTTTAAAAAAATCCTCAACCGCAACAATCAACATAAAAACAAAAAAAAATACAACAACAATCAAAACCCAAGTGATAAATCAACGAGTCTCAATATTTATTGAAATTTAGGTGACGATACTTGGTTGTGCGGTAGGGCTTGTTTTCGCAAGAATGCAACAGAATGCACAAAAAACCCCACGTCAAAACAACATAACCTGCATAATAAACATGGAAGATAGTGAAAAAAGGCCACAATTTGGAAACCGTTTTCTACAGGATGATGCAGATGTATTCCAACATAATGCGTGGTAGGAATTTAGTTAATTTTGCCGTTAAATCGCGGTTATGTCAACAAGATTTAGAAAAAAACCTAAATATGGTTCTAGATACCTAAAAAATGATTCTAATGTGTTTTCTTTTAATGCTTGGTATATTAATAAGTTGTATCTTTGAATTTAAGTTATTTTTTTATACTTTAGGGATGATGTTGATTGGGATGAAACACAAGAAGCTGAAGCGTTAAACAAAGTACAAATTAACAGCACAGTGAAATTTTCTGATTCTGATATTGAGAAATATGAAACGGAGGCCGATAAAAACTGGGATAAATTTTACGATATACATACAAATAGATTTTTTAAAGACCGCCACTGGTTATTTACAGAATTTCCAGAATTGGCAAGTGAAAACTCGGAAGGACAAAAAACTATTTTTGAAATTGGCTGTGGGGTTGGCAATACGGTTTTTCCCATATTGCAGTATTCTAAGAGTGAAAATATTTTTATATATTGCTCAGATTTTTCAAGTAAAGCTATAGATATATTAAAGGAAACGGAGATGTATGACAAAAATAGGTGTAAAGCTTTTGTTTTGGATGCTACACAGGAAAACTGGGATGTTCCATTTGAGAAAAATAGTGTGGATATTATAGTTTTAATATTTGTACTTTCAGCAATAAATCCTGAGAAGTAGGTATCTATATAATTTTTTTACTGTAATTTTTGCAAAACCTCAAAAAATTTAATTTTTTGTTAATTTCAAGTTTCAGCTTGTAGTTTTTGAGAAACAAAAGTGACATTAAAACTGTACACAATATTTAAATAGTTATTTCAATTCAACATATTATAGTTTTTACCAATATAACTTTTTTTAGGTTTCAACATGTAGCAAAACAAATATCAAACTACTTAAAACCAGGTGGTTTAATTTTATTCCGTGATTATGGAAGATATGACTTGGCCCAGTTAAGATTTAAACCCGGACGATGTTTGGGGGACAATTTCTATGTAAGGGGTGATGGAACAAGGGTATATTTTTTCACACAGGGTAAAATATTTAAAAAAAACACTATTTATACAATTTTTATAATTTTTTTATTTTTTTAGGTGAAGTAAAGGATATTTTTGAAAGTGTTGGGCTCCAGGAACTAGAAAATAGGGCTGATAGAAGACTACAGGTTAATAGGGGCAAACAATTAAAAATGTACAGAGTTTGGATACAAGCTAAATACAAAAAACCTGAATAAATATTTTTTTAAATTTTTTTTTTTGCTTTTAAATTTAATTTAATTGTTTATAAACCAGTTATTTTCTAATAAAAACACTTTTAGAATTACCAAATTGGTGTTTCAATCCAGGGTTGTCAGATGTTGAATAGGGAATTTGTCCTACCATTTTTTAAATTTACCCCACCGTGCAAATTTGTCCCATCATTTTTATCTCTATGCTACCGTGCATTTTTTAACTACAAAAAACATTAATGTTAATGTGCAGTTTTTAATCATTTTAAATAAACTGAATGTAAGGGAAGTTTTCGATTATCCAATTTTGTTACAACGGCAACACTGCTAACGCGCATTTCGGGCATGACAAATAACCTAAATTCAGGCTAAATATCAATTTTACTGTGGTATTATAAAAGTTTGAGAAAAAGCAACAATTTACATATTTTGTTTTAATTTTTTATACTTAATATACGTTTTAATGTATGTTTTTATTCGTAATAATTTCAAAATTATCGTACAAAACTAGATTACTATATAGTCATTATTGTTATCGTACGCTTGGCAACCACAAATTTAATCTAAATGCCGGTTTTTTTCTGAAAACATTGGCGCCATCTATGATTTATCCTTTCAACTGTCAGTATTACAATGTTGCCAACTTGTGGCGTTTTTTTAATTTTCACACAATAAATAAGCATATTTAATCGTTAAAAATATGAATAAAAACACAAAATCACATAAATATTCTAAAATTATCGATAATTTGTGTAAATTTTATATGATTTTAACAAAAATAACCTCAGAGAATTTCATTTTTTTGACAGCGAAGTCTGTCAACCCAGCTACTTTAGCTAATCCATGAAGCATATTCGGTGGCAATTTCGTATAAAGTTTAACAATGGATCGAGATAAAAATAAAGAATTTTACTGCGATTTTTTAGGGTTTATGATGGTAGAAGATGATTTACCGAATTGTTCTGTGGATATTGATGATGCTATACCAATGTATGTTGATTTTATAAAGATAAAGTCCATGAGCCGTATGGAATTTAAGGAGATATGTAGTAGAATGTGTAAATATCGCATTATATTGTATGAAAGCGAAAATATAATAACTTTGTCACATGAGTTAATGCTGCGTTTAGAGTACAACCAAGTGGGATCTAAAAAGAACTATAACTTGATTGAGAAGCGTTACTTGGATGAGTATGTGTGTAAATTATGTAACACAAAGTTTAATGCACACTCTGAGTTTAAATATCACAAAAAAACTAAAAGGCATGAAACAAGAATCATGTATTTGATTTCACGCATCGGTGATAATAACAATTTAATGTTGCTTGATGATAATTTAAATCAATTAAATCAAATAACGGTCACACAGGGCACCAGGGCATCTGTTAATGTTAAGTTAATGAATGACACCCCAAGCATGTGCAAAATTACGCATGTTTTTGTATTGAACACTTATTTAAATGTAAATCTGATACATACCGACAAACTACCATTTAAGGTTAAACCCAAATCAACAATCCGTGTACAACTAAACTGTACTTTTAAGGAAGATATCACGTTATTGCTGGGAGTTATCATGCAAAATTCACACAATACAATGAGAGTTGTAAAAAAACTTAAAATTAGGTTGACAGATCTAAGTGTGAATCCCCCAATAGCAAGAGATGGTCATGATGATGAGATTATACCAGGTATACCACTACCAGAAAATAACAGTCCCTTTATATCAGTAAACATAACAAAACCATATAACCCACCGGAGAATACCCTGGAAGTTCTTGAAGAAATGGCAAAGGAAGTGCCTGTTCCAAGAATGAAATGTTCCGTGGATACCTCGCAAGAACTGTATGCTACTAAGCAAAACTATGAACAATTTTTCCATCACCTATTGTACGAGGAAGAACTGCAAATGAGGAAGGATATTAAGGTGTACAATACTCGAGCCCCTTTGGAGTCCACTGGGTTTTTGTTCAGATTAGAAGTGCCAGGTTTAGCCGAGTCAAGACCGTCTTTGATACGAGGCGATGCCGTGTACGTGAAGGAAAATGAAAAAACCAGAAGAAAATTCGAGGGAATTGTACACAAGTTGGAGAAGAATTCTGTTTTACTCGGGTTTGACTCCAGCATCAAACCTTTAGCCATTAGGAACTTAAATTTCTTCATCGAGTTCAGTTTCAATAGATTACCGATAAAAGTTGAACATCAGGCGTGCAAATTGGTGATGGAGCATCAATTTATAAAATTTTTATTTCCTGTGTTAAGAAAGTTAAAGTATGGTGATCACAAGCCCAATTATTTCAATAGGAACTTGAATGAAAAACAAAAAATCGCCGTGGCTAATATACTGAACGCTCCTCAAAATTCCCAACCGTATTTAATTTTTGGGCCACCTGGTACAGGGAAAACTTCCACGCTTGTGGAGGCAATAAGACAAATTCACAAGTATGAAGAAAATTCGAGAATTTTGGTTTGCGCTCCCACCAACTCCGCAGTGGACGAATTGGCCTTGAAACTGTTAAAAAACATACCCACCTCGGAAATGCTGCGTTTCGTGGCCCTATCTTACTCCAGAAGCCTCAAAGACTCCAAATTACAGGAAATTGTGAACGTCAAACGCGGCGAGTTTTTTACACCCACCATCGAACAACTCGAAAAATACAGAATCGTTTTAACCACAAACATAAATGCGGCTAAATTCTACTGCGGTGATGTAAAACCGAATCACTTTAATTACGTCATCATAGACGAAGCAGGGTACTTAACGGAAACCGAGACGTTGGTACCACTGGCTGGAGTGTTGACGCACAAAACTTTCAAAGGGGAAGTGCATGGTAAGTTGGTTCTGGCGGGGGATCCCAGACAGTTGGGACCCAGAATCCACTCCAAAACGGCCGCTAAATACGGTTTCGGGGTTTCCCTGATCGAAAGATTGATCGATAGCTGCGAGTTATACCAACCTGAGAAAGAAAATTGGGACGATGTAAACTACGACTACAACGAAAAATATATAACGTTGCTGGAAATGAACTACAGGTCGCACCAGGCGATTTTAAAGGCCCCCAACGAGTTTTTCTACAACGATAAACTCATAGCTGCGGAGGAAAATGTATCAATGCTTTTCGACAAGTGGGAGGACCTCCCGACCAAAGGTTTCCCCATTATTTTTCACAATGTGGTTGGGGAAGACGCCATGGAAAAAAACTCACCGAGTTTTTACAACGCCAAGGAGGTGAAACGAGTTGTAGCATATATTAAAGTGCTTCTGGACACTAAAATACAAGGGGTGCAAATTTCGCAGGACGATATAGGTGTTATAACCCCTTTTATAAAACAAATAGAGAAACTACATGCAGAAACCACTAAAAATAACTGGAATAAAATCCTTGTTGGTACTGTGGAACAGTTCCAAGGCAAAGAACGGACAATAATAATAATATCGGCAGTCCGATCCAAGAAGGAATTGGTGAAATTCGATAAAACTTTCGACCTAGGTTTTCTGGTCAACCCGAAACGTTTCAATGTTGCCATAACGAGGGCCAAAAGTTTGGTTATTTTGATTGGTAACGCTGGTATTCTGCAACACGACAAATATTGGAGACGCTATATCGAATACTGTATTGAAAATAAATCAGTAAAAGGTGCAAAATTTATTCTCTCAGAATCCATGGAAGATTTTGAAAAGGACGATGATGTTACAACTGATGTTGTAGATTTTTCCAGGGGAAATATGTAATTTTAATGTGTTTACACTATAAGTATTCAAAAGTATTGATAAAAATAATTCTGTTATATAAATAAAAGGAAATGTTAATTTTTTTTTGTATGAAATATTAAATTATTTTTTTATGATTTGTTAATAAATATTGTTCTTCTATATCTGTTTTTTATTTAACCTTTATCTATAACTGAAACGTTGGTAATCAGCGACCCTAAAAACCCCATGTTGCTAAATTTGAGCAATATCTGACAATTTTGTTTTTTAAATACCAGGTGCCGTCCATAAATCTCCTGACGCCTATACTTCAATAATACTCTGGTTAATAGTAGAGTTTTTAATGATAAAAATTGTAATGGGTAATCTACTAAACAATTTAATATTAATAATGGACTTTTTTATTCGTAATAATTGCAAAATACGATAAGTCATAATTTTGTATCATGCGAACATTGATTAATCACTCTGGCAACTTCTAATTTAATTTACATGTCTGTACTTTACTGAAAACAATGGAGCCATCTATGTTTTATTATTCCAACTTTTAGTATTCCTTTGTTGTCAACTTGTGACGTATATTTCATTTTCACATAATAAATAAGTATATTTACTAATTAAAAACATTAACAAAAACACAAAATTATGTAAATGTTTTAAAATTATCAATAATTATTGTAAATGTTGTATGTTTTTAAAGAAAATTATCTCAGATGGGTTCATTTTTTTGACAGCGAAGTCTGTCAACACTGCAGCGAGTGGTTATCGGAATTAAAGCTGTCTTAGCATATTAAGTTGCATTTGCGTAACAAATTAATTTGTTATACAGTTTAACAATGGGTCGAGATGAAAAAAAAGAACTTTACTTTGATTTTTTGGATTTTTTGATGGCAGAAGATGATTTACCTAATTGTTCTTTGGATGTTTATCAGGCCCTTTTATTGTATGCGGAATTTATGAAGATAGAGCCTATAAGTCGTACAAAATTTAAGGAGATAAGTAGTAGAATGTTTAAATGTCACATTATATTGTATACAAGACAAAAAAGGATCACTTTGTCGCATAAGTTGATGTTGCGTTTAGAGTACGACCAAGTAGGATCTGAAAGTGACTATAATTTGATTGAGAAACGTTATATGGGCGAGGAACTATGTAAATTATGTAATACGAAGTACAATGTACACTCTGAGTTTGTACAACACAAGAAAACTGAAAGACATGTAACAAGAATCATGTATTTGACTTCACAGGTGGGCGAGAATAACAATATTAAGTTGCTCGATAACAATTTAATTCAATTTGATAAAATAACGTTTACACAGAGGACTAAGGCATTTGTAAATGTTAAGTTAATGAATAACACCACCAGCATGTACAAGATTTTGGATGTTTTTCAACTAAACACTCATTTTGATGTAAATCTGAAATATTTGGACAAACTACCAATCAACTGTGAACCCAAATCAACAATCTGTGTACAACTAATTGGTACTTTTAGTGAAGCCAAAGATTTCACGTTATTGCTGGGAATTATCATGCAAAATTCGCAAAATACAATGAGAGTTGTAAAAAAACTTAATATCAAGGTTAAAAAATCGTTGACAGATCAATATGTGAAACCCCCAATAACAAGAGATGACGACGACGATGAGGTTATACCAGGTGAACCACTACCAGGAAATGACAGTCCCTTTATACCAATAAACAAAGCAGAACTGTACAAACCACCAAAGAATACCTTGAAGATGCTTGAAGAAATGGCAAAGAAAGTTCCCATTCCGAGAAAGAAATGTTCCGTGGACAACTCGCAAGAACTGTATGCTACTAAGCAAAACTATGAAAAATTTTTCCATCACCTATTGTACGAGGAAGAACTGCAAATGAGGAAGGATATTAAGTTGTACAATACTCGAGCCCCTTTGGAGTTCATTGGGTTTTTGTACAGATTGCAAGTGCCAGGTTTAGCCGAGTCCAGACCGTCTTTAATACGAGGCGATTCCGTTTATGTAAAGGAAAGTGAAAATTCCAGAAGAAAATTCCAGGGAATTGTACACAAGTTGGAGAAAAATTCTGTTTTACTCGGGTTTAACTCCAGCATCAAACCTTTAGCCATTAGGAACTTAAAGTTCTTCATTGAGTTCAGTTTCAATAGATTGCCAATAAGAGTTGAACATCAGGCGTGTAAATTGGTGATGGAGCATCAATTTATAAAATTTTTATTTCCTGAATTAAGAAAGTTAAAGTATGGTGATCACAAGCCGAATTATTTTGATAGGAACTTGAATGAAAAACAAAAAATCGCCGTGGCTAATATACTGAACGCTCCTCAAAATTCCCAACCGTATTTAATTTTCGGACCACCCGGTACAGGGAAAACTTCCACGCTTGTGGAGGCAATAAGACAAATTCACAGGTATGAAGAAAATTCGAGAATTTTGGTTTGCGCTCCCTCCAACTCCGCAGTGGACGAATTGGCCTTGAAACTGTTAAAAAACATACCCACCTCGGAAATGCTGCGTTTCGTGGCCCTATCTTACTCCAGAAGCCTCAAAGACTCCAAATTACAGGAAATTGTGAACGTCAAACACGGCGAGTTTTTTACACCCACCATCGAGCAACTCCAAAAATACAGAATCGTTTTAACCACAAACATAAATGCGGCTAAATTCCACTGCGGTGATGTAAAACCGAATCACTTTAATTACGTCATCATAGACGAGGCAGGGTATTTAACGGAAACCGAGACGTTGGTACCACTGGCTGGAGTGTTGACGCACAAAACTTTCAAAGGGGAAGTACATGGTAAGTTGGTTCTGGCGGGGGATCCCAGACAGTTGGGACCCAGAATCCACTCCAAAACGGCTGCCAAATACGGTTTCGGGGTTTCCCTGATCGAAAGATTGATCGATAGCTGCGAGTTATACCAACCTGAGAAAGAAATATCGGACGATATAAACTACAGCCTCAACGAGAAGTATATCACGCTGCTGGAGATGAACTATAGGTCGCACCAGGCGATTTTAAAGGCCCCCAACGAGTTTTTCTACAAAGATAAACTCATAGCTGCGGAGGAAAATTTCTCGATGCTGTTCAACAACTGGGAGGGCCTCCCGACCAAAGGTTTCCCCATCATTTTTCACAATGTGGTTGGGGAAGACGCCAGGGACAAAAATTCACCGAGCTTTTACAACGCCAAGGAGGTGCAACAAGTTGTAACGTATATTAAAATGCTTCTGGACACTAAACTACAAGGGAAGCAAATTTCGCAGGACGATATAGGTGTTATAACCCCATATAGAAAACAAATAGAGAAACTACATGGGGAAACCTCTAAAAATAACTGGAATAAAATTCTTGTGGGTACTGTGGAACAGTTCCAAGGCAAAGAACGGACCATAATAATAATATCGGCAGTCCGATCCAAGAAGGAATTGGTGAAATTCGATAAAACTTTCGACCTGGGTTTTCTGGTCAACCCGAAACGTTTCAATGTTGCCATAACGAGGGCCAAAAGTTTGGTTATTTTGATTGGCAACGCTGGTATTCTGCAACACGACAAATATTGGAGACGCTATATCGAATACTGCATCGAAAATAAATCAGTAAAAGGATCACCATTTATTCTCAACGAATCCATGGAAGATTTAGAAAATAATGATGATGTCACAACTGAAATTGTTGATTTTTCCAGGGGAAATATGTAACTAATGTTTTTATATTTTTATAATGTGTTAATAAAGATTGTTCTTCTATATCTTCAGATTGTTTTTATTTTACCTTAACATTCAAATAAGGTAAATTTAAAGTAATTTAAACAGGGTAAGTATACAACTAATTTTTTTGGAAAATCTCCGCCATTTTGTTTTCGGAATATTTCATATCAAATTTGTAATTAGCGACCTTAAAAACCACATGTTGCCAAATTTGAGCGATATCAGAACGTTTTTTTGAAAAATTGTCCTCCATAGTGTTTTTGGAATAATTTTTAATCAGAAAACTTAAAAACCACCTGTTGCCAAATTTAAGCGATATTAGAACATTTTCTGGGAAATTGTCCGCCATATTGAATCCTCCATTTTGTTTTTGAAATAATTGATATAAAATTTGTAATCAGCGACCTTAAAAACCACATGTTGCCTAATTTGAGCGATTTTTGAACGTTTCTTTTTAAATTGTTCACTATTTTGTTTTAGCGAATTTAAAAATGACATGTTGCCAAATTAAAGCGATATAAGAAATTTTTTTGGAAAATTGTCGGCTATCTTGAATCCTTTATTTTGTTTTTGAAAAATGGATATTAAATATGGAAATTTTATACCTTAAATTTAATTTGGTCGAATTTTACTTTAGATAGTTGGTATCACAGTCATTGGTTTGACAGTTAATGTCAAAATCGATTCGCCATGCCTTCCTTAATTTACTTGTTTACAATAAGCGGCTGTCAATGTTAAAGAGGAAAAAAAGGATTTTATTTGGTGTTAAACAAAATTTATTGCCAGAAAAGTCTCGTAAGAACTAGAAAAATCATAAAATATTATAACCAATATGCAAAATATTATGCTGTTTAAAGTATAGCCAACCTATAAAATCAAAATTTTGGGTGGGATAAAGTATCTCATTGCAGCACCGAAAGCGGTGTTATAATGAAGTCATTATGAACGCAAAATAGATAAAAGGTTTTTTTATAGATGATTAAAATAAAAGTTCTTAAATGTTTTACAAATATTTTATTACATTTTATAAGATTAATTAAATTAATTGAAATAAAATACGTACTTACAAAAATTTGTACTAAAATTAATAAAAATAAATATATGAATATATGTACAGTATGTCTCCAGATTAAGTTTACAAGAAAAATTTGAAAATTTTTGCTTCTTGGAAGAAAAGTCATTCTTAAAAAAGTTTTATCGTCGAAAAATATCCACAGGGTGTTTAAAAAATATTCAAGACATTTTAAGTTAGGTTTTGATTTTTCAAAGAAATTACTTTTCTTTGAAAAATCAAAACCCAACACTGAAAAAAAAAGTCAATGTTATTTTTCGACGACCAAAACTTTTTATTTAAAAAAACCAAAAACAAAAAAGATTCTCTCTAGAAAACTCAATCTGGGGACATAATGTGTAATAAAACCAATTGGTGTTAAATAAAATAACAAAACGTTTTGTATTTATAAAGTACTTTTAGTTAAAATAAAATAAGCCTTTTTTAGTACAATTATAATTAATTAATTATAAATTTACCAGACACAAAAATCTAAACATTCATTTAATATTTTTTAAATGTTATGCATCGTTTTAAAAATTGAATAATAAAACATTCCTTTTTACTCTAAAAAAAAAATTGGCACGGTTTATGGACGATTTAAAATATACTAAACAGGTTGACACCCTGTAGATTATAGGACGAGTATTCGATTTAAAAACTGCGAAATAAAAAATACTTTTTTCGTAAAAATGCCCGCAAAGGTTTAATTAAGGCTCTCCCGGTGTAAAATCTAACAATAAGGCTATATTCAAATCACATCGTTTTTTAAACTTCTGTGTCGATTTTCTCCTGTTTTTTGTCCCTCGCGACGTACGCAGCGTGCACGCTCTCGCATACAAACCTATATTGACTCTGAAAACAAAAAAAATAAGTTACGAGACTACCTTCCCGACTAGGCACCTTGGTTCGGCCAAGGTGCGTAGCCGAAGAGGTCGTCCCGTTTTCGTTTCGGGCACTCACAGCGTTCTGGATCATCATGGCGCGCTGGTCGCGCATGTTTTTCACGATTTCCAAGGGGTAAACGGGCTCGGCGTTTTCCATTAGACAAAGAGCGGTCTCCATTAGTACCAAGACGCCCGTGCGGCCGATGCCGGCGCTACAATGGACAATCACCGGCGCGTCATCGGCTCTACATTCCATCATCTGCGAGAAAAATTTATTTTATTTCACCAGCAGATTTAAAGTTGCCCGAAAAAAACAATTTAATAACGCCAATAGACTGGGCAAAAAAATCAACTATTTTTTTTTGAAAAGTATACCTATCGAAAATATGGTTTGGGGTGACAAAAAAAAATTATTGTGAAAGTTTGAGTCCATAATATTAATATTGAGAGGTCTATCATAGCAATTTTATTATTTTTTTCCTCAGCAAGTTTTTGTCTCGAAAATATTTTTTTAAGAAAATTAAAGTCTCTACAAAAAAGGTTAAAGTGAAATTTTCCGTCAGATGAACCATTTCCTTAAAATCATACCTTAAAAATTGGTATAGTTTTACATTTTCATCTTTTAAATTGGAATTTTGTAATTCATGTAAAAATCAGTACCCTGAAAAAACCGATAAATATTCTTATGGGAAATCAAATGCTCTACAAAAAATCATTTTTGGCTAAATTCACTCAATCAAAAGTTATTCAAGGTTAAAAGTTCGTTTTGACTTCAAATTTAACCTTGAATAACTTTTGATAGAGTGAATTTAGCCAAAAATGTTAAAAGACTTTTTTATAGAGCATTTGATTTTCCATAAGAATATTTATCGGTTTTTTCCGGGTACTGATTTTTACATGAATTACAAAATTCCAAAGTTAAAAGATCAAATTGTAAAACTATATAAATTTTTAACTGCAGTTTTAGTGATTTTTTACACTTTTCAAAGCTTTCAAACATACGAATTTTTGAATTAAAAAAAATTATCCTGGTATAGATTCTTTGGGAAATTTTATGCTCTATAGACAAGAATCCGCGACGTAAAAATTTTTATCTCAAACGGTTCAAAAGTTATAGTCTTTTTAATGAAAAAAGATTTTTTTACGTGTTATTTCAATGGAAAACTTAGAATGCTCACCGACACCTTTTAAAATTGAGCAAAAAATTTTGCCTTGCAGGGAAATTTTTTGCTCGGTATGTAGATTCATTTTAACCCATAAATCCGATAGGTTAGTTTTTTTGACTCACCCTAATACTTATACTTATACTTAACTATAATATTCAGATGGAGGTGGAAAATTTTTTTTAAAATGCTTTTTGGAGCCTAATTAACTTTTAAAAAATTAAGTAATTTGATTTTCAAAAAAAAAAACAAGCTAAATTGGGCCCTCTGTCAATTTTATAAATATAAATATTTTTTGACATTTTTATTTTAAAATTAGAAACGTCAACATTTTTCGTATAAACGAGTGTTTTTTTTTTCAAGTAAATATATAAGTAAGCATATGTATATGCTCTAAAAAAATCGTGTCTCAAAAAAATGTTTTTAACTGTTTTCTACCCTTGTCTGAATATTATAATTTTTATATTTAAGATGTATGACACGCCGTTTTAGCATTTATTAGATAATAGTTTAAAGATTAAATTTATAGTAAATTAACCTTAAAATTGACATTTGACAGGTTGATGACAGCCCTGATAGAATAGTTTTTTTACAAGAGGAGTAAATTGGTTGTCCTTAGCACTTAAAACAACGTTTAAAAAGATTTTTAATCTGTATAAACAGCACTAACCTGAAGGACGAGAATTGTAAACATAAAATGGCCGCCGTTAGAGTCAGTTCAGTTTTTTTAGAAAAATAAAAATTGCAAATTATCCATTTGCAATATTCTTGATGTGTCAGTTTTAAATCAAGCAAACACTTTTATGAAGAATGAAATTTTAGAAATATTCCATTATAAGTAGAACCTGTTGTAAATGTTGAAGTATAGTAAAGCGACGTTGCCAAATCTAAATCTAACTCTAATCACTCACCTTTTTCGTGAATATGAGAAACTGGGTGGGTGAATCCGGTACTCCATGATCAGGCCATGCAGTGTACTGCATGTGTTTGATTTTTTTCTCGGACTTGTTCTGTAGGAGAAAAAACAAAGCATAAAATATTTTTATTTTTTTATGCTTAAATAATTTGTACCTTAACGTCTTGTAGGGTGAAATCCCTAAAGACGAAGCTGCCCGAAGGGTCGTCCTCTTCAGCTTCCCCTTTTACGATGATATTTTGCATGGTTAGCACCTCTTCCACCCCTGGCCAATACTGGTGACACTTTGGTCTCCCTAAAAAACGCATTTTGCACGTAAACAATCGCGCAAATTTTCTATATACAACAAAAACCTACCTCTTTCGACCAGTGTCGTGAGCATGACGATGAGGTTGCAATTGTTCTCCAAAATCATCTGCCAAAAGTCTTCGGTGGTGGTTTGCAGCGGGCCTTGAGTGGCGATGTAACGGTTCACGATTTCCGTATGCGGTATTGCCATGTTTACGTAGTTGGCGTTGATGTAGTCCCCGCTGGGGGCGTTTTTTAGCACCACGCGAGTGGTGTCATCTGTTAGCGATACAGGTAAGTTTGTTTTATGAGAGTTTTTGGGGAAAATGGGCGCAAATTCATAAAACTACTTGAGGAAGCAAATAGAGAATTTGAGCTCCAACAGAAAAAGTAAATTTTTAACATTCTGCGAAATATCACAAAAGTGTCATTTTACTAAAGTTTAAAAACATTTTTAACTAAAATATAAAGTTAAAAACTATATTTAAAATGCGCATGTGCGCTGTAAAATTCGACCTATTTTTTTTAAATTTATGGTACTGTGCGAATTTTGTTCGAATATTCTAAAACGTCGCAAGCATGCGCGCACCATTTCCGTTTCATGTCACTTCAAAATATTTGTCACTTTGGTGACGTTTAAAAAACATTTTTTGCTTAAATAAATACTACATTTAAAATGCAAAATTCTTAACAAATACATGTGCGCCGTAAAATTTGTTTTGTTTTACCCCGTCCGCAAAGAAGTTTTTTGTTTTTTTTTTCATTTTTGATATAAAAAATCATTTTTAATTTTTTTAACATTTGAGCATTTTTTTGGAATATTTTTTTTTAATATAAAAAATTATTTTCCTTTTTCTTGTTTTTTTTTTAACATTTCACCACTTTTTTTTAAATATTTTTTTAAAATTTTTTGAGAATTTTAGATTTTTTAATTTTTTAATTTTTCGAGTTTTTTTAACATTTGACCACTTTTTAATCTTTCGTTTTTTTTACATTTACCACTTTTTTTAATTTTTTTAATTTTTGATATAAAAAATTATTTTTAAATTTTTCGTTTTGACCACTTCTTTTGATTTTTTTATTTTTGTTTATATATTTTCTCATTTATAATAAAAAAAATTATTTTTGAATTTTTCGAGTTTTTTTAAGTTTTTTTTTAATTGTGGGTAATAAAAATATTGTTATTTTTTTAAACTTTCTTAATGGGCTTTAAAATGACGTAAACCTTTTTTAAAATCCGATGTTGTTAAATTGTGCGAAATAATAAAATTGTTATTTTTTCAACCTTTCTTAATGGGCTTTAAATGACGTAAACTTTTTTAATTTCTGATAATAAATAACCAAGTTATAGATGTTTTTTTAAAATACAACAATTTAGATAGCAATTATTCTATATGTTTAGTATGTTTAATATTTTACTGTAAAAATAAAAACAACAAAAAACATTACTCACAAGGCGAAATATCCCTGTAGCGGTTCTTGTTGACGTTCTTCGGCTTGGCGGACTCGTCGCAGGCCAGGTCCGGGTGCTTCCGGGGCAACATCTCGTACTGATTCACCTGATGGCCGCTCTCGAGCCCGTCGGCCAGCAGATGTATCGACATCTGCAACGCGTCGCTGGGCGACGACGGGCTGACGTCACTTCCCGCCGGCACGTACATGTAGTAGGGCTCGGGAACCCCCGCCGCGCCCGGCTCCGGGTGCGCGGAAGCGAACTGCTTCACCACCAAAGTGAGGCGCCCTAAGATTAAGTTTTTGTTAAGATTAAAGCGTCGTCCATTTTTATGTTATTTATGAATTTAATGCTTTATTTTTACTGGATAAGGCCGTTCATAATTTTTTTTAAGAAAGACATTTTCCCGCACCTTGCGAAAAACAGCCTTTAAAATACTACTAGCATTTCAAACGGTAAAATTAAGAAATTTGCAGAAAAGTTGACTTTTAAATTTTGTATGTTATTTATGAATAAATGCTTTATTTTTCCTTGGTAAGGCCGTTCATATCTTTTTTAATCCAATTTGTTAAAAAAATACATTTTTACGCACCTTGCAAAAACAGCCTTTAAAACACTACTAATATTTCAAACGGTAAAATTAGGAAATTTGTATATTATTTATGAATAAATGCTTTACTTTTACTTTTTAAGGCCGTTCATAATTTTTTTAATCCAATTTGTTAAAAAAGACATTTTTCCGCATCTTGCAAAAAACAGCCTTTAAAACACTACCAGCATTTCAAACGGTAAATTTAAGAAATCTGCAGAAAAGTTGACTTTCCATTTTTTACGTTATTTATGAATAAATGCTTTATTTTTACTTGGTAAGGCCGTTCGTAACTTTTATTAATCCAATTTGTAAAAAAATACATTTTTCCGCACCTTGCAAAAAAACAGCCTTTAAAACACTACCAGCATTTCAAACGGTAAAATTAAGAAATCTGCAGAAAAGTTGACTTTTCCATTTTTTACGTTATTTATGAATAAATGCTTTTTTTACTTGGTAAGGCCGTTCATAACTTTTATTGATCAAATTTGTTCAAAAAATGACATTTTTTCGCACCTTGCAAAAAAACAGCCTTTAAAACACTACTAATATTTCAAACGGTAAAATTAGTAAATTTGCAGTTAACTTTTCCATTTTTATGTTATTTATGAATAAATGTTTAATTTTTACTTGGTAAGGCCGTTCATAACTTTTATTAATCCAATTTGTTCTAAAATACATTTTCTCCGCAACTTGCAGAAAAAAAAACGAAAAAAATATTTCTTTTCTAGCCTTTATAAACTACTAAAATTGGGAAATATTTCTGTATTATCTGCAGTGGGGATAATAAAAGGAAAAGTCAATTTTTACCACGGATAATACAAAAAAATGAAAATCAATTTTTTTTTTAAATTTTATATCTGTAAAATTCTAGGTTAGGTCAAAATGTAAAATGGCCATTCAAAAAAGAGTAATAATATGATATTTTATGACATTTCCTGAAAATTTCATCACAAAATCTCACAATATAAAAAAGTTACACAAACCTTCATTCTGTTTTCTGGCTTCTCTGATATACGAGCAAGCTTCGTCATAGAGGGCGCCAGTGCATTCGTGCTCATTTATTTGCAACAAAACGTCGCCCACGTTTAATTTCGGCGTGCACTTATCCGCCGGAGTATCGGCAACGATGCGCGATATTTTTATCGGCAAGTTTCTGTCAGAACCACCTAAAATTAATAACATTACACCTGTGTACGCATTTTTCGAAACTTTTTCGCACCCGAAATGATAAATCCGTACATTTCGCCGCCGTCCAGCTCTAGAACGATGGTTGTGGCGGCAACGTCGCACTGCTGCGACGTCGGCGAGTGGCTCAGGCTGTAAGGGGGCGTGTCGTACAGCTCGTTGGGAGTGGTGGGGGAAGGCTCCTCGTCCGCGTAGCTTATCACCCTGTTGGCTATGCCGGGCATGAAGGGACCTTCGAGGGTCCGCTCCAAAAAGCCACCGTCGCTAAAAGAAAATAAAAATTGGGCGTTTTTTCATTTCACCCTGTAACGTCGGGCGCCAATTTGGAAAACTCACAAAATTCACCCAATTTCGGTAATTATTGTGGGAAATCAATTTTTGACAAAAAAATACAACAAATTTTCAGATTGCCAAGTGAAAATCTTTAAAAACAATGACTAAAGAAAAAAACCTTAAAATCCAATCCTTAGTATGGGCTTAAAAAAATTGATGTTGGGGATAGTAAGTAGATTTATTTTAAAAACAATTAAATGGCAGTACTTTCCTTTTGTATACACAAATCATCTGTGAGAGATATATAAATAAAAAAATAATTTAGGTTAATGTTTTAGTTTGTATATGAGCTTTTATTTGTTCCATTTACTTCAAATATAGATAGTTGCTATAAGAAGGAAAATTGGATCTAAAAATCATACTACATAGAAGTCTTTAAAAAAGTGGATACAGTTCCAAGTTTACACTTAGCAGCTGATCTATCAAAAGAGAAATCAAGTACTTTGTAAGAAATTGTAATAAAATTGTAAAAAACAATATAAATCATATTTCGTTTTACAGTGTATAAGAGATAGGACAAAAACAGGAAGACATAAGAGAAACTCGAACTAAGAAATCAAAATTAAATCTTTTTTTGCATTGTGCAGGAAATGTGCCAAGACAAGGAAGCAAATCTTCAAGGACAGTCAATAACAAAAACAAAATAATGAAATGGCATAGAATTGAAACATACAGGGTGGCTCAAAAGTTGGAAATACTTTTGAAATATCGAAAATATTAAAAATTGATTTTAATAAAAGTTGTTTTGTAGTTCATTTCAAATTTTATCCCTATGTAACATACAAAGCCTCTTTTAAATTGTTATAAAAAAGGGGGGATACTAATAAAAAAAAGTTGGCCCCATTGGAGGGCTACGTATTTATTTTTTTAAGTTGGTAATGTCACCGCAAAATTTGAAATAAACTTTTATCAAAATCATTTTTTGAAATTTTTGATATTTAAAAAGTTACACTCAACTTTTGAGCCACCCTGTACAATATTTCAAGTTTAGTTTGTTTTATTCAATGTTGGCTCCATAGTGGCCAATAATTAATTAATTAATTATTAAGAGTTTTTATTTGGCAACTAAACCTAAATTGCAATTATTTGAAATAAATAAATTTAGAAAAAAATATGTTGTTTACATTTTTCTTGCAATGCTAATGTAGTAACTTGACACTTTTCATTTCATTCTTTATATATGCTTTGAAACATGATATTTTATTTTATTGAAAACATTTCATTTTAAAAACAAGATATTTTATTTGAAACCCCATTATTTAAAACATTTAACCTAAAAACTTTTTTAGCACTTATTTATATATTTTATTTGGTATTTAGTAAATATTATTTATTTTAAAACAATATATTTTATTTGATTGAAAACCATATAAAATAGTTGTTTTCATTAATAATATTTTCTTGAAATGTTAATATTGTGACAGATCGTTTTTTTCGTGTGATTTTAAAATTATTCGACAATTAATCTAAAAATCGAATAATTTTATAAAATTTTATAAATATCATTTAAATAACAAAACTTACTCATCTGACATATGCGAATCCTCAGTCCATGCCTTTTTCGGCTCTTTTGTGCCCAAAGAAGTGACCTTGTTGTCGTACGGCCTTGGAGGCCTTGGGGGAACCACAGAAACTTTCCCTTTAACCTCCAAGGCTGGAGCCGGCACCGTTTGTCTCACCTTTAAAAGAAAAAACGTCAAACTTGGGCCACCAGACTGCAAAACAAAACTTACGATTTTGCTGGGCGATCTAACGAACTTTCGCTCCAACTTCCCGCGCTGTTTCACCTCTGAAACCGTTTGAAACTCGGTTCTGCCCGAGTAGGTGAATTTCGAGCCCAAAGACAGGGGGAATTTTCTTCGAACGCGCGGGGAATGCAAACGGAAAAAGGTGTGGTGCTCCACGCACGACTTCCACAGGACTTTCGAAGTCCTATAGGAATTCATGTTGAACCCCAAAAGAGTATCGTAGCTCTCGGACTGAAAAAAAAACACCCTAGAAGACATCCCAAAAGTATTTTCTCTACGACTACTTAAGAATAGTAACATTCTAGTGTAATTTTTGATCATAGAAAGGATGTTTTTCTGCAATACTGTGCGAGAATATTCCTACTCTTGTTTGAGAATGGTCACAAGTAACGACATCTCCTGGCTGTTTACTAAACGTAAAAAATTTAAAAATATTTAAATATTACTGTATTATTTATTAATTAAAAAATAATAGCAGTTGAATAATTAAGGTTTAGGCACAAAAAATTAGTTATATTTATTGTTTTTCAAATATACAAATCAAAATTATAATAAATTTGATATTAAAATGATAAACCAGTTACCTACTATACCGGTTTTGAAGTTTTGACAGATTCAAAAAGTTTAAAAAAAGAACTTTAAAATGTAGAAAAAGAATAGATGTTGACATAGATTACTTGTAAAATTAGTTTTGTATTTGTTACAATGTTATTTTTTTTATTAGTTAGTTTAAATAACTATTTTTAATTATAATAAAGATTTAAGCATAGCATTTGTTTAAATTTATCATAATTTACATTATAAAATTGTGACAGCACAAAATGGTTTGACAATACAAAAAACTTAAATGTCAAAAACTGCTTGGTTTCTTTTCTCTGTTTAAAATTTTATAAGCGTTACTATTCTTACGTAGTCGTAGAGAAAATAATGTCTGAAACATGTTTGGATTAGCATATTCCACTCTCGTAAAACCGTCACACTCGCCTTCGGCTCGTGTGTCAAATTTTTCCTCGAGCGGAATATGCTGTATTCCAAACTTGTTACAGAATGTACTATTTTGTACTTACAGGTTCCTTTATAAGCCTGATAAAAAATTGCTTTCGTTTAAACGATATTTGCATTATTTTGGACCACGAAAACAGATTTATTCGGACGCTGTTCAAAAAAACAACCAGTCCCAAATGCGTAACCCCTAACTGTATATCTCTATTTGAACTATCCTGCAAATTTGAGAAAAAATTACTAATGAAAAAATATTTTTTATATCGCACAAAAACCCACCTTGGCTTTGTGCAGTTCAACCCCGTACATATCCAGTCTTTTCACGTAATTCAAAAAACCTATTTCCGCCTCTGCCGGTGATAAACCCCTAAAAAATATTTACTCGTAAATTTGACAACACTGCGTGACGTCACGCAGTATAATAATCTCCCAATCATAAATACATACTGCAATGAATCACCTAATTGTAAATAATGATTATAGGAAAAAGTGTACGCACTTAAAATACCAGAAATTAATTTGAATATTTATCACAATTTCTCTGTATTAAAGCATATATTACTTATGAATGAAATTATGTTAAATATTTAAATTTAATTATTTTTTATTAGTAAAACAACTATATTTGAAGAAATTTAAAACCTCATAATTATACAGGGTCTCCCAAAAAATAAAAAAAGAATTAAAGTTAAAAGAAGAAACAATCTGATATCTACCCTAGTAAAAGTATTAGTTACAGTACAGTGCAGTACAGGGTGTTTAAGTTTTAATATTTTTTAGGATTTTTTAAAAATATTTTCTGAAATTTAAAATATAAATTATCCAAATTTTTGTATACAGGGTATCCCAGATTTTAATGGGAAAATGTAAAAATTAGTTACAGTACAGTGCAGTAGGTACAGGGTGTTTAATTTTTAATATTTTTCATGATTTTCTTTAATATTTTTTGAAATTATCAAAATTTAGTAAACATTTTTGTATACAGGGTGTCCCAGATTTCAGTAGGAAAATTTAAAAAGTTAGTTACAGTAGTAGTACAGGGTGTTTAAGTTTTAATATTTTTTAGGATTTTTAAAAATATTTTCTGAAATTTAAAATATAAATTATCCAAATTTAGTAAGCATTTTTGTATACAGGGTGTCCCAGATTTTAGTAGGAAAATCTAAAAAGTTAGTTACAGAACAGTGCAGTACAGGGTGTTTAAGTTTTAATATTTTTCAGAATTTTTTTTAATATTATCAAAATTTAGTAGATAAGCATTTTTGTATACAGGGTGTCCCAGATTTTAGTAGGAAATATAAAAAGTTGGTTACAGTACAATGCAGTACAGGGTGTTTAAGTTTTAATATTTTTAGGATTTTTTTAAATATTTTCTGAAATTTAAAATATGAATTATCCAAATTTTTGTATACAGGGTATCCCAGATTTTAGTAGGAAAATCTAAAAAGTTAGTTACAGTACAGTGCAGTACAGGGTGTTTAAGTTTTAATATTTTTTAGGATTTTTAAAAATATTTTCTGAAATTTAAAATATAAATTATCCAAATTTAGTAAGCATTTTTGTATACAGGGTGTCCCAGATTTTAGTAGGAAATATAAAAAGTTGGTTACAGTACAATGCAGTACAGGGTGTTTAAGTTTTAATATTTTTAGGATTTTTTTAAATATTTTCTGAAATTATCAAAATTTAGTAAGCATTTTTGTATACAGGGTGTCCCGATTTTAGTAGAAAAATGTAAAAAGTTAGTTAGAAGTACAGGGTGTTTTAATATTTTTTAGCATTTTCTCTAATATTTTCTGAAATTTAAAAGATAAATTCTCCAAATTAAGTAAGCATTTTTGTATACAGGGTATCCCAGATTTTAATAGGAAAATGTAAAAAGTTACATTACAGGGAGTTTAAGTTTTAATAATTTTTTGTATTTTCTTTAATATTTTCTAAAGGTTAAAATGTAAATTATCCAAATTTAGTAATCAGTTTTGTATACAGGGTGTCCCAAATTTTAATAGGAAAATGTAAAAAGTTAGTGAAAGTACAGAGCAGTACATGGAGTTTAATATTTCTTTAAGATTTTCTGAAATTTAAAAGAAAAATTATCCGAATTTAGTAATTTTTATTTTTTTTATTCCAGATAGCAATATTTAAACATAATTGTTGAAAATAGAACATACTTAATAGCTAATGTAAAATAAAAAAACAAAAAATGTACTCACTTTAAAGACTGATGTAATTCACATATTTTAAGCTCGATATCTTTGTCCTGATTTGGCAATAGGACCAAATTAGACAAATAATCTGGACCATGTTCTTCAGGCTGATAATCGCCCAGTTCGGCTAAAAAAAAAGTTTTATTCATAAATTTTGGTAGTTAAAAACCAAAATACCCTGCACTGTGTAACTGGACAGCAATATGGCACTACTGGCGGGCAAAATGAGCCTCTCCTCTAAAATATCCTGTTTCAATTGTAAACAGAACTGATATCTCGTGTACTCCTCCAATAATTTGCTTGGATCCGACACATAGAACTTAACCCTAAAGAATAACTTAGTCTGGCTGCCATTAAGCTGCTTTTTGATTGGTTTCAGAGGGTCCAACCATCTCTACAACGATTAATAGAGCGTTAGGCGTTAAAGTGAGGTTATATCGGAAAAACTTACGATAAATTCGGGTTTGTTGCTGTCGTCTTCGTAAAATTGCAGCCCGAAGTAGTCTTTCTCGACCAGCTCGAGGTGCTGATGCACTTGGTCCAATAGTACGCTCCCTTTGGACTTTTTCTCCAGATGAAATACATGCTGAGTGTCGTCCAAGAAGTGCACTGTAACCGACAGTCCTTTGAGCTTTCTTTCCTTCGCGGCGGCCAGCTCTAACGCGTGCACATTATAAGTCCCGCTGGAACCACTGAATGCCCTTCTCGACACACTTTCTATCATAGTTGTGATTATTTCCTTCGACGTGCATTACGTTGACGTTTTAAGTGGTTTTGCGTGACAAACGGTGGTCTTTGTGGTGCTGCTAACCCAACGAGATAACTCCAAGTGAAACATTATCTATGTTGGACCATTAATTGATAAAATTTCAACTATTCCAATACATTGTTTGTTTTGTTGTACTATCGGTATTTTTCCTTTGTATAACTTGGCTTGAGTGCACATCAAATTCCGATTTGCTGTTTTATTGATGGTTTTCGTCGGAATTGTCGATTTAAATTAATATAAACGTAAATAAACTCATCGAACTGACTAAAAAAAATATGCCTAGTGCTGTGTTGCCAAATCTAGACGAGATCTTGTGTAATCGTGTAGATACGATAGACTTGCTTTGAAAGGGTTGAGTAAAAACACTTTAACAATATTAACTTTAAAATATACAATTTATGTTATATTTATAATAATACATTTACTTATATTTTTGATTTTATTGTCCTTATTATATTTACTGTGTAAGCATGGCAACGCTAGAGGAAGCACACCTAAAAAAGGCGGTTCATTTGAAAAATTATGTTCTGTGAACATAATTAAATCGTGATTTAGTTTAATTTATTGTCTCCCAGTGGTATACTAAATAAAATAATCTTTAAAATGCTTCAACTGCGTAAACTGTAATTTTCGTAAAGTCTGATTTATGGATTGCCTTCCCTTCTTCCTTCCTTTCTCCCGTAAAAAATGAACAATACGAAAATCGTAGTGCCATTTATTAATTCCCGTACGGGAATCTTTAAACAGCACAACGGCTTTTGTATTGTTCATCTTCTACGGGAGGAAGACAATCTATAAATCAGGCTTTAACGTCCATGCGCTTTACGAAGCCATCCACCCATAGACACATGAATTTTCCTATCTTGGAACATCCACTAATTCTTTTGTACAAATCACAAAATACCTCGCTAAAGGGTCAAAGCTTGCGATATTGTCCAAAAATACAGGTAAGTTTCTATACCCGGAATCCAATTTTGTCCCAACTAGGTCGAAAATTAATCTATATTTCATACTTTTCATTGAGCGATCCGCACAAAACCGAACTCCACAATCGTTGATCATGATAACGGTTACTTTATTTCCTTTTAAAAAGTATTGAAATACCTATGATACCTATACAATAATTAAATCGAATAAAACAAAAAATTAAAAAAATATTTATTAACAAATTAATAAAAAAATATCCGTAATTAACATAAATTAAATTTTTATTTCAAAAGCATGGCATTTTTTCTTAACTTTTTTAAATTGCTGTCAAAGGGTTTGTTATTTATTATTTACACAGCATCATTAAAATCGTGACGAAATAATGTATTTCACTGTGCATGTATAACTCTTTAAAATAACAATTTGTCTAAATTCAAATTTAGAAAAAAATTATTTAAAAAACATGTCCAGGCAATATTGCTGTTCATAAACATAGATTTCTTATTATTTGTCATAATATGTTTATTATATTAACAAGTTTGGAATACAGCATATTCCGCTCGAGTGAAGAGTTTGTCACACGAGCCGAAGGCGAGTTTGACGGTTTCACGAGAGCGGAATATGCAATTCCAAACGTGTTTCAGACTTAGACTATACTTTTTCTACGTTTCCAAAAAATACCATAGAAAAATAATTTAATTGGAAAAAAGTGAGGTTGGATCGGTTTAAAATTTGTTAGATATTAAAAACAGCTCTAGAGATGTCGCCACGAGTGTTTATTCTGTCATCAGATGATAGAATATATGTCATTCCATAGATAAAAGTGATATTAGAAGGGTCAAATTCCGTAATAGGAGTAGAAAAAAACCTTTAAGGTTAACACAGGCTGTGTGGAAGGACCCCTTCTACAACAGAGAGGCAAAAAGAGGCCAAGAAAAAGTCCAACTCAAACTCTGATGAGCAGTGTTCTTTGGTGTAGAGGTTTTAAAAGGTATTGATAAAACCTAAGAGATTTTAAAATTAAACAAAAAAGTTTTAGCATATATTTTTTTGAATTTTATTAATTACATATACTTTTGTTTGACTAATTTTTTGTCTTTAATTTTGTGTAATAATTTTACATAGGTATTTGATATTTTATATTTGTTGTATTTTTTATAAGAAATATATTTTTTCCAAGTTATTTTTTATTCTGCGCTGTATCTTCGTTACTGTTCGTTTGATTTGTACAAAATTTTCAGGGTATACTAACGAAAATACGGTCTTTAACAGCATATTTTTTATTTACTTAAAAAAATCCCTTAAAGTTATTTTTTTAACGATTTTTTAATTATTAAATAAAAGCTCAGCTTTAAAAATATTTTCTCGAAAAATTTTATTAACAAATTTGGGAAATTGTATTTTTCTATTACTATTATAATAATTATTAAAAAGCAAATTATTAAAAAAACAATTATTTTCCCTACCGTTACGCTAAGGTAAGAAATTGAAATTAACTTTAAACAAAAAAAAACAGAATGTTTGCGTTTAAGGAATTTTAACCTGTCAATATTTAACATTGGTGTGCTGTTTTCATGTGCCCTGCCAACCCGAGTTTCGATAGAAAAATTTTGCCGCAATGCTGACAATTGATTTTTTTTCTTTTTAGGGGATCGCCATGTTGGTTTTGAACGTGGTGGTCTAAATAATCCCTGCTTGCCAAAGGTTTCCGGCAATGCGGACAAATGTATTTTTTTCTTTTTACGGAATGTTGACCTCGAATGTGCTGATTTAAACTACTCACTGTTGCGAACTCTTTCAAGCAATGAGGACACTTGCACTCAAAACCGCCGTGCTTTATTTTAATATGCTGGATTAAGTAGCTTCTTCTCAGGAAACTTTTTTCGCACTGCGGACATTTGATTTTTTTTCTCAGCAAGGCATTCTCGTGCTGGACTTGGAGGTGGAGTTTTAACGGCTCGTTTCTTTTGAACGTTTTCGGGCAATGCGGGCATTTGTAACGGTGGCCGTCGTGTTTTTGTTCGAAGTGCGCGCCTCTACTTTGCCTGGTGAAGAATAGTTCGTCGCAAAGTGGACATTTGTGTTTTTCTTTTTGCACGCCATGTAAGATTTGAAGGTGCTTATCCAAGGATGCCTTGTTGACGTACGTTTGTGGGCAATGTGGGCAGCGGAATTTGTAGCCTTGGTGTATCGTTTGAACGTGACTTTTTAAATTTTGTACGATCGAAAAAGTTTTGTGGCATTGCGAACACTCGTACTTTTTCCTTTGCATGGGTTCGCCGTGTTGGCTTTCAACGTGCTGTTTACATGTATTTGCATTTTTATAGGTTTTCGGGCAAAGTGCGCACGCGTATTTATATCCTTCATGTTTAACGTTAACGTGTCGCGTTAAATAGTCTTTTTCTGTGAACTTTTTGTCGCACTGTGCGCACTTGTGCTCTTTCGGATCGCCATGTTTGTTTTCGAGGTGATGATTTAACTTGGATTTTTCCGCGAACGTTTTCGGGCAATGCGGGCAAGTTATCCTGAAGCCCTCGTGTTTTAACCGGATGTGCGCGAGTTTAGCCGTTCCATTCAGGAGTACTATGCCGCAATGCGGGCACGCGTACTCTTTTCTTTGCGCGGAGTCACCGTGTTGGCCTTTGACGTGGTCGTTTAAAGTTCTCCCGTCAGAGTACGCTTTCGGGCAGTGCGGGCACTTGAACTTTTTTCTTAGCAGGGGATCGCCATGTCGCCTTTCAACGTGGAGTTTTAAACCAAGACTTGACGTTAAAGCTTTCGGGCAATGCGGACATTGGTGTTTAATTCTTTGCAGGGGATCGCTGTGTTGGATTTGAACGTGGCTTTTTAAAAAATAATTTCTTGTAAAAGCTTTCGGGCATTGCGCACACTTGTACCGTTGTATTTGTAGGGGATCGCCGTGTTCGACTTTTACGTGATATTTTACGTTTTGCTTGGTTTTATATGTTTTCGAGCTATGTGAACAACTGTTTGTAACCGACATGTGTTGTGATTTTATGTGCCTCGTTATACATCCCATACTCGATAGCAGTTTGTCGCAATGCAGACACTTGGATTTTTTTCTTTGCGAGGGATCGCCATGATGGTTTTGAACGTGACATTTTAAAGAGTATCTTCTTATGTAAGCTCTTGGGCAATGCGGACATTTGTATGTAATTCTTTGTAAGGGATCGCCATGATGGTTTTGAACGTGACGTTTTAAAGTAGCTCTTCTTGTGTAAGCTCTTGGGCAAAGCAGACAACGGTGATTGTTGTCTTTTATCGACTTCCTAAAACAAAAAACCAGCTCTAAAGATCACAGAGGTGACATTTTCGACGAACATATTATCGTTAAAATCGTGACGAAATTATGCATTTTACTGTGCATGTATACTGCCCTGTTAAGGATAGAGGTCGTATCTACAATATTTTGTAGTAAAGGACAGAAGAAAATTTTAATTTTTAAAAACAATAAAGAATAAAGTTTTTTCTTTACTATCACAGCAAACGGAAAATTATAGAAGTGTATAGGATGACTCCGCGTTTGAATATCAAATCTTAAAGTTGTATCATAACTGTATTGAATCGTGCTTTGTTTTTATATTTTTCGGCTCTATACCTATAGGCATATATGCACGACTATATTTAAAGTCAAACTCAATGGTGTCTTACAAGATACATTATTTTGATTTTCTATATTCAACAGAGAGGTAGAAACTCGACCCTGTCGAATGGTGCAGTCATTTATGTCTCTAGAAATTATTAAAAAAGGGTTCAGTCCAATGGTGCAGCAACTTCGGATTCCTATTCTCTTCAGAGACATAGAAACTCAAGCTTTTCGAATTTTACTGGCAATGATTTTCGTTAATGTCCCCGAGAATTATACAAAAACAGCGCAATGCAATATCGCAACGGTTTCGACTTCTCTTTACTCTACCAAGTTATAGAAACTGGAGTCTCTCTAATACTTTTCTAGTCAATATTTCTGAGAGTATAAAAAGAGGGTGTAATATTGCAAGAAGTTTTGATCTTTTGATGGATGCAAGTAGTTTGAATTTTCTCATTTCTGCATATGATTTTGTTGAAAATAGTTCCTTTCTTTGGTTCCTTTGTCTGTTTTTTATTTACCCTAACAACTCAGG